ATTGCTGAATATTTTATTACAACCCCAATATTGTAGAACATGTGTACAGTAATGGCTGGTCTTCAGATACTGTATGTGGATGTACTAAATTAATATTGCTGTAATTGCCCTAAAATTCATTATGAGTAAAGAAGCATTAAAATAATAAGTTTTGTATTTATGGAATTTAATGAGCAGAAGATTCCATGGCTGGTTTATATTTTGAGTTGAGAGCCAAATGTTAGATTGGTCTGGACGACGCCCGGGGAGGAGCCAAGGTAATATTTATGATAATTTACTGTTTTATGACCGTAATTATTGCTGGAAATGATTCTAGATAGAATATTATTAAACAACATGATGGCAAGGGTTGAAGGTGACTGCCAATAACTCATAGAGATGAGTATTTTGTATAAATTTAGGTCACTTGTATATTACATTGTGTATACAGTGAACTGGAATCATAATATATTATTTATTGACATCATATCAATATTGTCTCCATATTACAAGTCCTACTGCGTCCCGAGAGACACGAGTGCCAGTGTATTACATTGGTACTCGTGTCACGCAGAACACACTATAACTTGTGGTATGGAGACAATATTTATATGATTTAAGGACTGGGAGTTAGCACCACCAAAGAGTGGGTAGCATACAAGAATTAAATCTAAATTATTATGTATAAGTAGGAGGTGACATAGTGGTCAGTGACTCTCCCTGTGGTAGGAGGTCCCTGACAGTGGGACAGTCAAGGCAGTAGTGTTGAGGGAAGTTAGCATTGGGACAGTTACTGAGTTTACAGGAAGAGAAGTGCAGGCCATCTCCCACCTCAGATACTAACCTAATGCTAAAAAAGACATTATGTCTGCTGACCATAAGTCCACTTCGACGATACTTGTGTGGACGAGGAAGAAAGTGATCATAGTTTTGGGTGGATATATCTTCAGCCAGTTCACTATGCCTGTGATGGATTGTAGGGAGAAGAGCGGCTTAACGTATTCCCTCTCAATAGGGTCATGTTGGGCTTATATTGAGGCCTAACAGATCATGATTGGACAGTCAGAGTTTGGCGAAGCAGTTATTGATTAATCTCTTTTTTTTTTCTTTTTACTTTTATCCTCTTCACCACTGAACGACTCGTTAGCTGCTTGGGAGATCGGTCACGTCTGCGTTACGCACTGTTGGCAAGTACTGGCCTTGAACTGGCTCCTGAATGTACCTGAACCTGCTCCAGTGTTGGTCAAGTCTGGTCTTGAAACAGCTCACACTCGGTGCCGTCACAGCACTCTGGTAGATTGTTCCAAGAATTCACAACTCTCACTCCGAAAAAGTTTGCCCTCACAGTTTTCTGGACTTGTGGCTTCTTCAACCTTGAGCTGTGACCCCTTGTGGGGCGAGCGTCTGCCAGCTCCAGGTAAGGACACTCGACTGAGTAGTGACCCCTGAGATGCTTATTCACCTCAGTTAGGTCCCCACTTGCCCGTCTCTAGTATAAGCTAGACAAGTTCAGGCGCTCCAATCTCTCAGGGTAGCTGAGGTGCCATAGTGCAGGCACCAGTCTGGTGGCCCTCCTTTGAACATTTTCTCAGGGACCAGACGGGGTGACAGTACTCCAGATGGGGAAGCACTTCACTCTTCAAGATCGTTATGAGGGACGGACCGTCCAGATATCTGAACGACCTTCTTATAAGACCCAATAATTTATTTGCCTGATTTACCTTCTTCTCGCAATGGCCCGAGAACTTCAGCTCATTGTCAACATACACTCCTAGGTCCTTCTCACATTCAGTCTCAACTAGTGCAGTTTCTTCATCCCATTGGGACATATGATACGCCTCCTTACCGTTGGTACGCTCCAGGTGCATCCTCTTACACTTCGTGACATTGAATCTCGGCAGCCATTTCTTCGACCATTCTTGGAGCCCACAGAGGTCCTTCTGCAGCTCTTCACAGTCCGCTTGGTTCTTGATTTCGCGAAATAACTCGGCGTCATCGGTAAACATTTGTATGGAGGAGTGTACAACGTCAGGCATGTCATTTATGAAAAACAAATAACAGCGGGCCCAATACACTGTCCTGTGGTACCCCGCTTGTGACAGGTACGGATGATGATTTCGTGCCATTAATCACCACACACTGCTTGCGGTCATGTAGGAAGTCTACTATCCACGCTAGGACATTTCCCCGAATTCCGTACCCTTGAGTTTAATTTTCAGCCCAGTACTTGCCAACAGTGCCTAACAGAGACGTGACCGATCGCCCAAGCGGCTAACGAGTCACTCATTTGGTGAAGAGGATGAAAGAAAAGGAAAAGTAACAGAGACGTGACCAATCGCCCAAGCGGCTAACGAGTCAATCATTTGGTGAAGAGGATGAGAGTAAGTACCAGTAAGTCCTGGCCTCATGTCGCTTCCCATAACAGATTAGGGAAGGTTTTATGCTATTGTTACACTTTCCTGGATAAATTCTGGATAATAATATTCCTAATAAGTAAAAAAGTAAATTATTGAACTCCCGAACGGCTAGTAAGCAGATAAATGCTGAAAAATAAATCATTTTAAGCTTGGCATGATGTGTTATTGATAGACGTCGCTTATACAACAAAACCAAGACGAGGACGATACTCTATTGTTTAGTTATTTCACCATTTATCTGTTTATTTGCTATTCTGGCATTTAGTTCCGTATTTTATTAATTAATTATCACCTTAACTGTCCCGTGTTAGTACAGGAGGAACAGTAATTGGTAAAAAACACTAAATAACACCACGTTTTATTCTCAGGCTGTGGGACTTGAACACAGGACAAAATGATGAACGCCTTACATTATTACCAAAAGATATTAATATATCTAACATTAATATACAATATAAAACTATTTCATTTTGTTATCGTAGTAAAGTTAATTTATCATAATATAAGTCATTAAATTAGTTTATTAACACACTAAGACCATTGCGGCATGTTGGTGATCAACAACCAAAACTATTGTAAACAAACACGAGTGAGGCAGAACTTCTTCCTATTATTATGGCTAATTATCACCTTATTAGTTATTGGATAATGACTAATTCAGGTAAGTGTGTTGATTATAATACTAGTAACATATTTTATAGAGTTTAATATAGGAGTGAGTTGTTTAATGGTTATAATGAACTGTTATGTGTTGGTCCGGGATGATAATGGCGTCGGTGCTAAGAATTTTACCTTCATATCCGTCGGAAATGAGTGGTGGAGTTATCACCCTTCCTCCATACAACCTAACCTAACCAACCAAAGAAACCTAACCTATGTATGTCCTTGTTAAGGTAATAACTAGACACAGTATAGTAAGTAACACAAACTTGATCACTTTATTTACCGTATAATATATACTTATAGATATATACTGGTATATTATATATATTGTATGTATATACTGGTATATACCCAGAATATTCACTTAATAGTTGTAAATTAATGGTGTAACCTTCCTGTGCACTCCAGGCAGTCGTGACGATTGTGTCAACTACCTGGTCATCATCTGTGTTTTGTAAAAAAAAATATAACCTGCCACAGACTACCTCAGGCTGATATAACCTGCCACAGACTACCCCAGGCTGCTATAACCTGCCACAGACTACCCCAGGCTGCTATAACCTGCCACAGACTACCCCAGGCTGCTATAACCTGCCACAGACTACCCCAGGCTGATATAACCTGCCACAGACTACCCCAGGCTGATATAACCTGCCACAGACTACCCCAGGCTGTTATAACCTGCCACAGACTACCCCAGGCTGCTATAACCTGCCACAGACTACCCCAGGCTGTTATAACCTGCCACAGACTACCCCAGGCTGATATAACACGCTGACTGACAACTTGTACAGAAAAAGGTGAGCATTTAGTCCTGTGTGTAATTATGGTGTTGAGGGATAACATTTGTAATATGATTCAAGTAAATATTCCAAAAGAAGAGCTGTAGATCACTTGACTTAACCTCTTGAGTACAATTACCTTTGGCCCGACCCAACACCAGACACTGTAGCAAGAGAGACCGCACCACCTCCCCACCTGACACTGTACAGTACTGGGGCTATAGATTATTAGAACACCCGAGATGTATTTGAATTAGGAGTGTACAATATGAATACAGTACCATTATTTCCCCATAGATTCTACTGCTATAAAGATCATCAGGTGCACCATGCTAAATACTGATAGTCACCAAAATGTTGGATGTTGTCCAGTCTTTGTTCACTAACATGTATCTAAGACCGACTGGCCCACTGGCTCACCGACCCATTGGCAATATGCCCAAACTCCCGATGAGCCAGTCCGTCACTGGGTGACGATGTGTCATAAACCCTCATTAGCTGTAATTAAACCTTTGTAATTACTTTTAGAATATTTTCATTTTGCACAAGTTGATTTAGTCATTTGTAGTTTTCATTTATAAATTGTACTTTTTATAAGAATATTATCTAAGGCAAAATATTTTGTTTCAGATACTGTGATGTCACATCTCAAGACCATGTGTAACTAAGTTGAAGTTCACAATGTCAAACAGAGATAAAAAGTTCTCCTGTGAGGAATGTGGCAAACAGTTTTGTTTAAAGTCTACTCTTCAGACACATTTACTTGTACACAATGGTATGAAGGAGTTTGAATGTGAGGAATGTGGGAAATGTTTCTCACAGAAGGGTCATCTTAAGAAACACATTCTTGGACACAGTGGTATAAAGGAGTTTGAATGTGAGGAATGTGGGAAATGTTTCTCATGGAAGAGTCATCTCAAGAGACATATTCTTGGACACAGTGGTATAAAGGAGTTTGAATGTGAGGAATGTGGAAAATGGTTCTCCCAGAAGAGTCATCTCAAGAGACATATTCTTGAACACAGTGGTATAAAGGAGTTTGAATGTGAGGAATGTGGAAAATGGTTCTCCCAGAAGAGTCATCTCAAGAGACATATTCTTGAACACAGTGGTATAAAGGAGTTTGAATGTGAGGAATGTGGGAAATGTTTCTCACGGAAGAGTCATCTCAAGACACACATTCTTGGACACAGTGGTATAAAGGAGTTTGAATGTGAGGAATGTGGAAAATGTTTTTCTCAGAAGAGTACTATCAAGACTCACATTCTTGGACACAGTGATATAAAGGAGTTTGAATGTGAGGAATGTGGAAAATGTTTCTCTCTGAAGAGTACTCTCAAGACACACATTCTTGGACACAGTGGTATAAAGGAGTTTGAATGTGAGGAATGTGGAAAATGTTTCTCTCAGAAGAGTACTATGAAGACTCACATTCTTGGACACAGTGGTACAAAGGAGTTTGAATGTGAGGAATGTGGAAAATGTTTCTCTCTGAAGAGTACTCTCAAGACACACATTCTTGGACACAGTGGTATAAAGGAGTTTGAATGTGAGGAATGTGGGAAACATTTTGCACTAAAAGGTAATCTGAAGACTCACATTCTTGGACACAGTGGTATAAAGGAGTTTGAATGTGAGGAATGTGGGAAACATTTTGCACTAAAAGGTAATCTCAAGACACACATTCTTGGACACAGTGGTATAAAGGAGTTTGAATGTGAGGAATGTGGGAAATGTTTCTCCCGGAAGAGTACTCTCAAATGTCATAAACTTGTGCATGATAAAAACAGAATTCAATAAATGTTTGAATGCCTTTAACAGAAGGTAAATGTGCCACATAAACTTGAATACAGTGATATACATCAATATAAAACCACTTGAACAAACTCCATGAATGTAGCAGAAATAAAGACAAGTGACAAATGCCACTTTTATAGATATTCAACACCAGTTTTAATTATCTGCTCTTAAAATGTAAATTTCTTCTACCATGGCCTTAGTGTAGACATTTGGTTGGTAGTTTTGATTCATGTTTTAAATATATTCTTTCATCACTTACAGATATATGGTACCATTGTCTGGTAAATAATGGTTAGGGTTCATATATAGTAGCTGGTGTTATGGGGCAGATGAACTTTAACACCTCTTAACTGTATATAATATCATGTTTAATATATTGTTCAGTTAGCATCTTGGACCTTAGTTAGGTAACTCTTCTTGGTTATATATAAATTCATCCTTGGGCAGTCATTTTATTAAAGTAGCCAATGCTGAAATGTCAAACTCTGGGTTAAAATTAGTTGTTTGATCATGTCAAGCAGAAGACTTGTTTAAATTAACATACAGTATTTAGATATTTGCTGTTCTTATATACAACTTTTCCTAATAGTACTGGCATGTGTTTATCTAGCAATGGTGTTTTAAAAAATGATTGTTACAAGAATGTCATTAATTTTGTGCACCTGAATATATAGTTTTATGTTAATACAGGCTGTCCCCAACTTACAACAGGGATACATTCCTGGACCCATAGTTTAGGTTAGGTTAAAGCCCATACAAAACAACAATAATATCCCATGCATAAAAAATAATGTAAATTAAGTGATGTTAAACAAAATATAATGATGAAAATAATGAAAAAAACGGGATTTTAATTACAAGTTTTTGTGGTGAATGTATTGGGATCCCGTTCATAAGTGCGGGTGATGGTAAGTCGGACGGTCGTAACTCGGGGACTGCCTGTATACACTTTATGTTTGGCCATGATGTACCACAAACATTAATATCTTACAGAATGAGATATAAGTATTTAAACTATTGCTGAATATTTTATTACAACCCCAATATTGTAGAACAAGTGTACAGTAATGGCTGGTCTTCAGATACTGTATGTGGATGTACTAAATTAATATTGGTGTAATTGCCCTAAAATTCATTATGAGTAAAGAAGCATTAAAATAATCAGTTTTGTATTTATGGAATTTAATGAGCAGAAGATTCCATGGCTGGTTTATATTTTGAGTTGAGATCAAAATGTTAGATTGGTCTGGACGACGCCCGGGGAGGAGCCAAGGTAATATTTATGATAATTTACCGTTTTATGACCGTAATTATTGCTGGAAATGATTCTAGATAGAATATTATTAAACAACATGATGGCAAGGGTTGAAGGTGACTGCCAATAACTCATAGAGATGAGTATTTTGTATAAATTTGGGTCACTTGTATATTACAGTATGTATACAGTGAACTGGAATCATAATATATTATTTATTGACATCATATCAATATTGTCTCCATATTACAAGTCCTACTGCGTCCCGAGAGACACGGGTACCAGTGTATTACATTGGTACTCGTGTCACGCAGAACACACTATAACTTGTGGTATGGAGACAATATTTATATGATTTAAGGACTGGGAGTTAGCACCACCAAAGAGTGGGTAGCATACAAGAATTAAATCTAAATTATTATGTATAAGTAGGAGGTGACATAGTGCTCAGTGACTCTCCCTGTGGTAGGAGGTCCCTGACAGTGGGACAGTCAAGGCAGTAGTGTTGAGGGAAGTTAGCATTGGGACAGTTACTGAGTTTACAGGAAGAGAAGTGCAGGCCATCTCCCACCTCAGATACTAACCTAATGCTAAAAAAGACAACATTATATCTGCTGACCATAAGTCCACGTCGACGATACTTGTGTGGACGAGGATGAAAGTGATCATAGTTTTGGGTGGATATATCTTCAGCCAGTTCACTATGCCTGTGATGGATTGTAGGGAGAAGAGCGGCTTAACGTATTCCCTCTCAATAGGGTCATGTTGGGCTTATATTGAGGCCTAACAGATCATGATTGGACAGTCAGAGTTTGGAGAATCAGTTATTGATTAATCTTTTTTTTTTCTTTTTACTTTTATCCTCTTCACCACTGAACGACTCGTTAGCTGCTTGGGAGATCGGTCACGTCTGCGTTACGCACTGTTGGCAAGTACTGGCCTTGAACTGGCTCCTGAATGTACCTGAACCTGCTCCATTGTTGGTCAAGTCTGGTCTTGAAACAGCTCACACTCGGTGCCGTCACAGCACTCTGGTAGATTGTTCCAAGAATTCACAACTCTCACTCCGAAAAAGTTTGCCCTCACAGTTTTCTGGACTTGTGGCTTCTTCAACCTTGAGCTGTGACCCCTTGTGGGGCGAGCGTCTGCCAGCTCCAGGTAAGGATACTCGACTGAGTAGTGCCCCTTGAGATGCTTATTCACCTCAGTTAGATCCCCACTTGCCCGTCTGTAGTATAAGCTAGACAAGTTCAGGCGCTCCAATCTCTCAGGGTAGCTGAGGTGCCATAGTGCAGGCACCAGTCTGGTGGCCCTCCTTTGAACATTTTCTCAGGGACCAGACGGGGTGACAGTACTCCAGATGGGGAAGCACTTCACTCTTCAAGATCGTTATGAGGGACGGACCGTCCAGATATCTGAACGACCTTCTTATAAGACCCAATAATTTATTTGCCTGATTTACCTTCTTCTCGCAATGGCCCGAGAACTTCAGCTCATTGTCAACATACACTCCTAGGTCCTTCTCACATTCAGTCTCAACTAGTGCAGTTTCTTCATCCCATTGGGACATATGATACGCCTCCTTACCGTTGGTACGCTCCAGGTGCATCCTCTTACACTTCGTGACATTGAATCTCGGCAGCCATTTCTTCGACCATTCTTGGAGCCCACAGAGGTCCTTCTGCAGCTCTTCACAGTCCGCTTGGTTCTTGATTTCGCGAAATAACTCGGCGTCATCGGTAAACATTTGTATGGAGGAGTGTACAACGTCAGGCATGTCATTTATGAAAAACAAATAACAGCGGGCCCAATACACTGTCCTGTGGTACCCCGCTTGTGACAGGTACGGATGATGATTTCGTGCCATTAATCACCACACACTGCTTGCGGTCATGTAGGAAGTCTACTATCCACGCTAGGACATTTCTCCGAATTCCGTACCCTTGAGTTTAATTTTCAGCCCAGTACTTGCCAACAGTGCCTAACAGAGACGTGACCGATCGCCCAAGCGGCTAACGAGTCACTCATTTGGTGAAGAGGATGAAAGAAAAGGAAAAGTAACAGAGACGTGACCGATCGCCCAAGCGGCTAACGAGTCAATCATTTGGTGAAGAGGATGAGAGTAAGTACCAGTAAGTCCTGGCCTCATGTCGCTTCCCATAACAGATTAGGGAAGGTTTTATGCTATTGTTACACTTTCCTGGATAAATTCTGGATAATACTATTCCTAATAAGTAAAAAAGTAAATTATTGACCTCCCGAACGGCTAGTAAGCAGATAAATGCTGAAAAATAAATCATTTTAAGCTTGGCATGATGTGTTATTGATAGACGTCGCTTATACAACAAAACCAAGACGAGGACGATACTCTATTGTTTAGTTATTTCACCATTTATCTGTTTATTTGCTATTCTGGCATTTAGTTCCGTATTTTATTAATTAATTATCACCTTAACTGTCCCGTGTTAGTACAGGAGGAACAGTAATTGGTAAAAAACACTAAATAACACCACGTTTTATTCTCAGGCTGTGGGACTTGAACACAGGACAAAATGATGAACGCCTTACATTATTACCAAAAGATATTAATATATCTAACATTAATATACAATATAAAACTATTTTATTTTTTCATCGTAGTAAAGTTAATTTATCATAATATAAGTCATTAAATTAGTTTATTAACACACTAAGACCATTGCGGCATGTTGGTGATCAACAACCAAAACTATTGTAAACAAACACGAGTGAGGCAGAACTTCTTCCTATTATTATGGCTAATTATCACCTTATTAGTTATTGGATAATGACTAATTCAGGTAAGTGTGTTGATTATAATACTAGTAACATATTTTATAGAGTTTAATATAGGAGTGAGTTGTTTAATGGTTATAATGAACTGTTATGTGTTGGTCCGGGATGATAATGGCGTCGGTGCTAAGAATTTTACCTTCATATCCGTCGGAAATGAGTGGTGGAGTTATCACCCTTCCTCCATACAACCTAACCTAACCAACCAAAGAAACCTAACCTATGTATGTCCTTGTTAAGGTAATAACTAGACACAGTACAGTAAGTAACACAAACTTGATCACTTTATTTACCGTATAATATATACTTATAGATATATACTGGTATATTATATATATTGTATGTATATACTGGTGTATACCCAGAATATTCACTTAATAGTTGTAAATTAATGGTGTAACCTTCCTGTGCACTCCAGGCAGTCGTGACGATTGAGTCAACTACCTGGTCATCATCTGTGTTTTGTAAAAAAAAATATAACCTGCCACAGACTACCTCAGGCTGATATAACCTGCCACAGACTACCCCAGGCTGATATAACCTGCCACAGACTACCCCAGGCTGCTATAACCTGCCACAGACTACCCCAGGCTGTTATAACCTGCCACAGACTACCCCAGGCTGATATAACACGCTGACTGACAACTTGTACAGAAAAAGGTGAGCATTTAGTCCTGTGTGTAATTATGGTGTTGAGGGATAACATTTGTAATATGATTCAAGTACATATTCCATAAGAAGAGCTGTAGATCACTTGACTTAACCTCTTGAGTACAATTACCTTTGGCCCGACCCAACACCAGACACTGTAGCAAGAGAGACCGCACCACCTCCCCACCTGACACTGTACAGTACT